TTAAGATTCTGTTGAGCAAGATTAGGGTGATCAACAAAATTATTTGCTTCTTTGAGGTTTGAAAAAGAAATCTCAGTCATCAAAACAAGGAAAGATAGTAATATATGAAGAGACTGTATGGTGGAACCTTTGCATCAAATAAATGCGTGAAAAAATAATTGTGACAACAAGTGTCAACAAGTATTTTTGACGTAGCTTTATTTTCGTTCTAATACTGGTATTATTTTTTTAACAGAGGTACGAAATAGTACAATTTAGGTACATTTATTTGATACTAAATTTGTCAGGATTTGTTAAGATATACCCGCCATTCTGACCCTCACAAAGAAATACACTTTGGCCGCGCCACATACTTTGAAGGTTTAGAATATTAAACAGACCAACAGTTTAATGAGAGAAATAAATATATAAACGGGAAGTAGATTAATGGTACTTATTTTAAAATATATCTACACATACTTAAAATTAACAATCACCAACTAGACTAGCTTCAGAGCATACCCCCAGCCGGACCGCAACCTACATCTAAACTTCTAATGTCATTTATTAGAACTACACTTTCTTTATAAAAAGTAGCCTTTAGATTTTAGGTACTTTTTTTGGGAATATTGCTTTCTTGAAACCGTGAAGAGTATCACGGTTTTCTAAACCCAAGGTGACGCGGCGGGAGAGTACTGCGTTGCGGCCGGGCCACCTAAGTAGTTAAATATTTAATAATCTATCGAGGTACTATTAATTATGTTGTATGTCTAGGAGAGTAGACTTTAATTACCCTAAATATTTGGTACTACTGTGTTCGAGTACTTATAAGTGGTCCGGCCAAAGAGGATCACTTTGAAAATACAAAATTCAGAACAGAGAAAATTCAAAACAAATAAGGTAAATGTCCCAGTGGTTGACGTTTTAGACGAAAAATCAAGTGTTTTACCAAAAAAGTACTTTATTAAAACAGACAGCTATATCGAAAAAAATTGAGTGAATTCACGATATGCTATTACTAACTAGTATATTTAACACGGTTTTGTAGTTACATCAATAGGTACCCACTTGTTTTATTTTCTTTGTGGCGCACATTGCAACGCAAAACGCTATCGCTTATGCCAGTGAGGCCACACCAACATCGTACGATCTATGACGTCGTCGCTACATATCGTATGACCAGTGACGTCGGCGCCGCGCCTGCCCATGGCTCCGTTACCGACGCATGGCAGCGACTCCCGCGGCGGTCGCCCCGCGTCATGCACGTCATCGCTTCAAAACCCAGTACTGCGCGCCGAGCACCGGGCACTCTGCTTGCTTCTCGCTTTGGAGACAGACGCGCTTACAAATTTTTATATTGCTTTGTATTTTTACGTTGTTCTCGTAATTTTTAATTTCTTTAAGTTCCTTTTCATTCTTTTCAATAATAATATTCATTAGCTTCCGCGTATCTTTCTTCCTTGCTTTCGCTTTCTTGCCATAGTTTCAAGTGTATGTAATTCGGGTTCGAGTCCCGAATTGACAGATAGGAGTAACGAACTCACTCCTACATCTTTAAAAAAATGAAGATTTGTCATACATTGGGACAGTGTCAAAGTTGGTACATTTACCACCAAATACCTTACTTACAAAGTAGTACTTGGAAATAGAGTATTGGAAAAACTAACATTTTGTAATCTCTACGTGAAAAGGTTTCGCTAAAATCGATATTTACAGTACTGTCTGTATTATTAACTTCTAATTTAACCAGTAGAGATATCAAAATTATGCTATTTGTTATTAAAGTTCAAGCCTATCGTATCGATACTCACCTGCAAAAACAGCATGAACGATATTATCGTTGATTTTCCCCGTATTTCAGTATCTTGTCGTGATGTTTCATTATATTAAATTCTGGTCTGTAAAATCATTTCTAAATGTAGATGCATATCTTGACCCACTTATTTGCCATAGTTTAATATGCCTTAAAGGTACAGTATAGTCCACCAGCTACTAATAAATATGAGAAACTCAAATCGGAATTAATGAAACGCCTCTCAGCTTCACAGGAAAAGCATATACAAAAGCTACTGACTCATGAGGAGCTAGGTGATAGGAAACCGTCACAGTTCCTGCGGCATCTACGGGATTTGGCCGGATCTTCTGGTGCATCGGAGTTCGTCAAAACATTGTGGACAAATCCTTTGCCACATCATATACAAACAGTTATCGCAGTTCAAACTAATTTGCCTTTAGATCAACTTGCAGAGATAGCTGACAGTGTATACGAAATCGGCTCAATGATACCTCAGGTAGCCAGTACTTCCGCCCTCTATTCCAACCACGCCTGCTGCAACGACGCCGTCTTACAGAGAAGCATTGACGGAATTGACTAGGCAAGTAGCTTTACTTACTACATAAATGAACTCCAGACGTCGTCAAATTCCTTCGGCTACCATATGTCTGCGGCAGGTACTAGTACCTTGAGTCTAGACCCTTGAGTACCAAAGTACAGGTAATTCAAGAGTACAACGCGCAGAAGTCAGTTAAAGAACTACGACGTTTCTTGGGTATGCTTAATTTTTACAGGCGATTTATTCCCAACGCAGCCCAGCTACAAGCCCCTTTGAATGCCGTATTAGCGGGTCCAAAAATAAAAGGCTCACACCCTGTGAATTTGACTATGCAGCTACTACAAGCATTTGAAGACTTTAAGGATTCATTATCCCAGACTACACTACTAGCTCATCCTGATCCGTGCGCAAAGCTAGCGATAGTTACAGATGCATCTGATACTGCGCTTGGTGCTGTGCTACAGCAGCGTAGAGTAGCTTTTTCTCCCATAAGCTTAGTCCTACCCAAAGGAAGTACAGCCCATACGATAATAGTAATAGCTGTTAGCGAACTGCGAGGCGATTAAATATTTTAGGCATATGGTTGAAACTAAAACTTTTCTTGTCTACACGGATCATAAACCTCTTAGTTACGCTTTTCACACCAATAAAGAGAAATTTACGCCGAGACAGTTCAGGTACCTTGATTACATTGCTCAATTTACAACAGACTTGAAGCACTTACCAGGCAGAGAGAACGTCGGTGCCGACGCCCTGTCGCGCGTCGAGGAGATGGCTGCAGCAACTAATTACTTAGATCTTGCACGCACCCAGGAAAGTGATCCAGAACTGCATAATCTGCTACTCTACGGCCCACCCTGCAACTTAAAAAGGTTAGTACTGCAGATAGCAACTTACCTGTATACTGCGACGTTTCCGTACAGCCACCACGTCCGTATGTTCTGCTACAGTGCGACTGGTTAGACAAAGATTTGTTTGGCCGGGAATCCGTAAAGATTGTAAAGAGCGGTCTAGGCAATGCCTACCATGCCAGAAGAGTAAAATTACTCGCCATACTATGTCCCCCCTCTCTACCTTCCCTACTCCTTCCGCAAGGTTCACTCACATACACCTCGACATCGTAGGGCGCTTAATTCCATCTTCTGATTTCAGATGCTGCCTGACAATCATTGATAGATATACTCGATGGCCTGAGGCGTATCCCCTCAAAGATATCACAGCGGAGACCTCCGCTGCTGCCCCGGTTGTCTGGCTGGATCGCCAGGTTCGGCTGTCTGGCACGGGTGACTACAGACCGTGGACGCCAGTTCGAGAGCAACCTGTTCAGCGCCCTCACCAAACCAATTGGTGCAACCCACTTCCGCACTACTGCTTACCACCCAGCTGCAAACGGTATCGTCGAGCATCTGCATCGGCAGCTCAAGGCTGCCATTATGTATTACACAACTACTTCGTGGACAGAAGCCCTTCCCTTAGTTCTCCTAAGTATGCGGAGCTCATGGAAAGAAGACATAGATTCTACGCCTGCTGAAGTTGTATATGGCGAGACAATTCTATTACCAGGACAATTCCTGTCTTCTAATGACGACTACACGACTTCAGACATCACCGAGTATACAACACGCCTGCGCTCATAATGTCTCAAATTACGCCAAAGCCAAATTCAGGGCACACAACATCACCATTTTATGTGTCACGAGACCTTTCCACCTGCTCACATGTGTTCCTGCGCCAAGACCACGTACGTCGTCCTCTAGAACTACCTTACGAGACGGTCCATTCAAAGTTATTGCAAGGCACACCCAAGTATTTCACCATAAGCGTACGAGTGCAGCCGAACAAAGTGTCTATAGACAGATTGAAACCAGCATACATAATGAAAGAAAGTTCACAAGAGAAGACATACAAACCACAAGAGAGGACACGAGAGACACTAAAAGAGAAGACAGACGAGAAGACAACCCGCAGCGGTCGAAGAGTGAAGTTCTCCGATTTTTATCTACCGTAGTTACGGTCTGGCCAGGGGGAATATGTGGCGCACATTGTAAGGCAAAACGCTACCGCTTATGCAAGTGAGGCCACAGCAACATCGTATGATCTATGACGTCGGCGCCGCGCCTGCACATCGTACGATCATTGACGTCGGCGCCGCATCTGCGCATCGCTCCGTTGCCGTCGCATGGCAGCGACTCCCGCGGCGGTCGCCCCGCGTCATGCACGTCATCGCTTCAAAACGCAGCACTGCGCGCCAAGCACCGAGCACTCTGCTTGCTTCTCGCTTTGGAGACAGACGCGCTTACTAATTCTTATATTGCTTTGTATTTTTACGCTGTTCTCGTATTTTTTTATTTCTTTAAGTAAAGTCCTTTTCACTCTTTTCAATAATATTATTCATTAGCTTCCGCGTATCTTTCTTCCTTGCTTTCGCTTTCTTGCCATAGTTTCAGGTGTACGTAAGTCAGTGTGAAAAATTGGTACATTTACTACCATTTACCTTACTTACAAAGCAGTACTAGGAAATAGTCTTGCAAAAACTTAACATTTTGTAATGTTTACGTGAAAAGGTTTCGCTAAAATCGATATTTACATTACTATCTGTATTATTAACTTCTAATTTAACTAGCAGAGATATTAAAATTATAAGTACTCTTTGTTATTAAACTTCAAGCTCATCGTATCGATACTCACCTGCAAAAGCAGCATGAACGATATTACCATTGCTTTTGCCCCGTATTTCATTATCTTCTCGTAATGTTTCATTACATTAAATTCTGGCCTGTAAAATCATTTCTAAATGTAGACGCATATCTTGACCTACTTATTTCGTTTTGATAGTTATTGTTTTTGCATTCCAAGACAGTAGATAGCAGCTTGTAATAATAGCTTTCGTCTTACCACGCATCCTTGCAAATCCAATTATTGTGTCTTACCATACACACTATCGTTTTCAAGACCTGATTCGACATTGTCATCATTCCTACAACCACTACGCTGGGATACTTCTCGAATGTTAAGGTGAATCTTCATACCAAATCCGGCTCACTGACATTTGGGTTTGGCGCTCTTTATGCCTTTTTTAACGAACTGTTTACGTTTACTGTTCTGTAAACGTTAACGATCAACTGTTCTGTAAACTGACCTTCGCGTGGTGAGCATGTCATCTTCGCGCACCTCCCACAACCAGTAATAATAATGTTCCTTCTGTCGCCACTTCAAGGCCAGTATCAAACCTGCAAATATAGGCGAATCAAAAGCAGCAATTGACATTTTTAAGAAGATATAGGGTAAAAGCACCAGAGAGAGTAGTCAGCATTTTAATGAGAATTTCAATTTTGAATGTTAGTTATTTGTACAGTGTAGGTCGGATAAAAAAATGTACCACACTGTTCGATCAATCATTTATTATAGTTTTAATATAAATAATGTAACAATTAAAAATCTTCTGTTTTGATATTATACATATATAGGTTTAAAGAAAAAAGGCACTTTTTCCCAGTAGTCTCTCGAAAATCCAATAAACAGCCTCTGTGTACCCTGTACTCAGCCTTATCACTTATTAATAATAATGCGATCCAAATCAATTATATGAATATATGTGAAAATCAATTAAGTAATATTTGTACTTAGTTCTTACTCTACTAGCCTACCTAATCGGCATGCCATTTCTAATGGCTTCCACGCAGATGACGATTTTTCTTGGGGATACGAGAATATCGGTTTTAGTGCCATTTTTTACTAAAACTAATAAAAATACCCTCGTTAATATAGTCAAATAATAAATATAATTACCCATACCTATCTACATAATAAGGAACGGTTGGACACTGATACCGCAAAATCCAGTGGTCAGCCTTATTGAAATACTATTTCCAAATAGGGCTGACTACTGGATTTTTCACAAAAGGGTATAGGGAATGTTAAGTTAAATTTGATTATTCTACATAGAGCGCACTATAAGTATCCTGAACTGACCATTTACATAAGTAATATTTAAAAAGTAATTACAGTCAATTCGGGTAACTTTGAACATTTTTTGCGTTTTTCTAATAATTTCAAATTTAATTATGTTTCTTAACAATTACTTTATTAACTGAATAGTGTTCTTTAAGCCCTTTTTTCATTCTTATAGAAGGAATTTAGTAATTATTCAACAAAACTGTTCTAGATTTGCTCCAAAAGTCACATTCAAAGTTGCCTTGAATTTTGGGTAACTTTGAATAAGATTAGCCTTCGATATGGAAACCGTATATTTTCTAGATATTTTACAGTTTGTGTAAGATTATACAACATATTCATATTTTTTAGATGTGAATCTGTCCAAATATTCCTGACAGTGCGTTCAAAAACGACATTTGACTTGGTATTGCCATAATAAAACGAGACGAACTAATTTAGTTGAAATAAAAAACTTGTTTTTTTTTTAGATTTTTAATTAATGCGAATAAAAATGAAAATTTTCTGTTTAATAATAAATTCTACGCTTATTTAGCTATCAAACGAGATCAAAATGAATCACCCATAACTATTATTTTAGGCAAAGTAAATACGTAACAAAAATCTATTCACTCCACTCCTTGAATAAAATGTCGTCATCAATATAAATACGGCCGCCTTTTCTAGATAGCTGTTGCTCTTTTATAATATTCACAATATCGGCTTTATTAACTTGACATGTCTCAACGTTAGAGGGCCAAGACCAACCTCCTAAAAAGCATTTTTGGAGCACTGAGACAGTAATTTCCAAAGGAGTAACTTTTAGAACTCTCCCTGGAAACAGACTACCCTCTTCTCTAAAAACACAGTACGTATTGTTTCTTATATCTTGATCTATGCCGTTTCCTTTGCCTGTACGCTTCTCTGGAGTCACATCCATTTTGTATTTGTATTTGTAATTGTAAGTCAATGGTCACATCCATCAAAATTCCACTTGAATCATCTACTAAATATTCTTCAATAATTTCTTCTTCAACGATAACTTCGCTCTCTACTTGTAAATCAGCTCCTCCTTCATTTACAACACATTCTTCCATTTCCTGAATTATATCTTCTTATTAATTTGCAATCCTTTTATCGTCAACTGCACTACCTGAAGTTATTATGGGTTCGGAAGGTTGGTGAACTAAAGCCTCAACTGCTACTATTTCTTCAATACCATTTTCTTGCGACTCATTTTCAGAACTTGTATCATTTGTTTTCCTGTTTTTAGTTTCTTCACTTTGCGCATCTTCTTTCTTATCTTCTGCTTCTGTATTATTTGTAGTCTTCTTTTTCTTGTTGTTCTTTGAACCCACAGGTCTTCCTCGTTTTTTCGACTGTGCGACAGTTTCATCTCCCGTTCCTTGTTTACTTTTGTGTGTCTTGTCTCTTTCTTCATAATATTTTTCAACCTCCTCTGCTGATACACTTTTTCCCGCTGTCACTGGTAATTGAAATTTTCTTCCCTTTTTTACGATCAAATCTTCTTTTCTTACTTCTTCTATGAAGTTCATAAAACTTGTACCAACGGAATCACGAACATCAGCCTGAGACGTGTATGTTGGTAGCTTGTTCAAAACCGTTGAGGGAGAAAATGGATGGAAGCCATAATCCGGCTCTCACGTTGTCAGACGATGTGGCTTCGATGTGCTCTAGGGATTTTTGCACCAGCTGGGAGAAAAGTGATTTTGGGAGTACTTGTACTTTTTTCCTCGGCTAGTCTGGCGGTAATCATTGAGGACTTTTCTCCACGCAGTTTTAAGAGCTGAAAAATAACCTACATCGAGAGGTTGCAAGAGGTGGGTTGAATTCGGTATTAAGCAAATGAATGTAATGTTGTGTTCATTACAAAGTCGTAATGCTTTTAGAGATATATGGGCGCTAAGATTATCGCACAGCAATATCTTCCTACCATTTTGCTACTACTTGCAAAACTAAATTTTCAATTGATATGTAGCAACACAAATGATTCAAAGTTTTAATGATAACGGGTAACTTTGAACCGTTCAAAGTTACCCAAATTTCTCTGTTTGGTAACGTTGTCAAAATCTAATTCGTTTTACGCGTAAATACAAAACCAAATTAAATTATTCTTTAAAAAAAGCGATATATAAACCTCTACTTAAGTGTGGAAACCAAAACTTACCAGTCAATATTCAGATTTAGATATTTAATTCCGATTTTAAAACTGAACAACAAATCACACCAAACTACTTTCGCCAAGAAAAAACCGCGAAAGTTTAAAAAAATACAATTTGACATTACTTTTTTGTTTCATAACTTTCGTTTAACAATTTTGTTCCGATTTACACAGTTTCAATACTAAAAATAAAAGATTGCCATACATAAAATAAATTTTTAAATCTTTTACGCAACTACGTTCAAAGTTACACCACGATTTAAAGTTACCCGAATTGACTGTACAACATTTGAAAATGGAACTCTTTGGCTGTAGAATACAGTTTGTTTCATCTGACTGTCACTTGTTTTAAGAGGGAGCATGCCAAAAAAGTTTTGACGTTGGCTCCGCCCAAATTTGTGAAACAAATATATGTCTGAAGTTCGCGTGACATGCGACAAGTGATTTTGAATTTTGCGCATTAAAAGTACCAAATTCGTTTTAGCGGAATAACTCTAAAACTAAAGGGATTAAAAAAAATCCGTAGTGACAGTTGTCGATCATGCATAAATATAATTAATTGTCTAATTTCATCCGACTGTCACTTGTTTTAAGAGGGAGCATGCCAAAACAGTTTTGACGTTGGCTCCGTCCAAATTTGTGAAACAAATATATGCCTGAAGTTCGCGTGATATGCGACAAGAGATTTTGAATTTTGCGCCCAAAAAAGTACCAAATTCGTTTTAGCGGAATAACTCTAAAACTAAAGGGATTTAAAAAAATCCGTAGTGACAATTGTCGATCATGCATAAATATAATTAATTATCTAGTTTTTGTCCTAATAACCTGTAGCATTTCGAGGATAAATCGAAAAAATGTGAAAATTAGAAGTCATTTCGTGATTTTTATCTAGCGAGGAAACTTTATTGTTTTATGTTTCTGATTAATGTCTATGCTTGAATATATCGCGTAGTTACTCATACAATATTTGCTTTTTAACTTTAAAGTGGATATACCCCTCTAAAATCAAAAAGAAGATTAGGAATTTTTCCTCTGCTCCCTCTTAACATTGTGGCGCCATTTTAGAAATTGGTTGTCTACATCACTATGGATTTAACTCGTGAAAATTTTCGTAGTATGATTTTCTACGACTTTAAGTGAAACTGAACAGCTCAGCGGAGCTTCGCTCGGCTTCAGATTGCTTTTGGTGATGAAGTACCATGCAAGAAGACTATTTATAGGTGGTTTGCAGAATTCAAACGCGGTCGTGTGAATCTCAGTGAAGAATTTCGTGATGGTCGCCCGTCCACTGCTGTGAACAACAAAAACATCGATTTCTTACCAGATTCAACGAAGGGGCATCAAATTCGGTATGGGACATAGTAACAGGTGACGAAACATGAATTTATAGTTATGATCTCAAAACAAAGCAGGAATCGAGCGTATGGGTCTTTCGAGTTGAGCCGAAACCAACCAAAGTGGCGCACGTGCAAAGTGCCTCTAAGCGGACGATTGCTTCTTTTTTTAATAAAAGCGGACACGTGGCTACTGCTGCTTCGGAGAATCGTTATACCGTGAATAGTGATTGGTATACGACCATTTGCTTGCCGGAAGTTATTGACAAACTCCGTATAAATAACCGTAAACGCCGTATCTTCTATATATCTTGCACCACGATAATGCCAGTTCTCACACAACCAGACAGACAAATTACTTTTTGAAGCTGAACAACGTTCAACGTTGACCTTATGAGCCATTCCGACTTTGTGACTTCTATTTATTTCCAAAAATTAAGAACCAGTTTCGCGGTCAACGATTTTCATCACCTGAAGAGGCTTTCTAAGAGTATGAAAAATATGTTTCAGAGATTGTCAAGGAGGAGTGGCATAAATGTTTTCAAAATTGGTTCATTCGTATGAAAAAGTGCATTAACGATAACAGAGAATATTTTGAGAAACAATAAATTCATTTCTGACCATTTATAGTATTTTTTTCATATTCATTCCGGAAAGTTATAGTGCGCCTCACGTAATTTATCGGTTTTAACGATATAATTTTTGTCGTGATTTAAAAAAATATACAATTTAAACTAATCAGTAACACACAAGTGGACAAAAAGGTCACTTTTAACATCAAAATGTAATTTTTCTTACCCGTTATGATACACCACTTGCTGAAAAAAAATGGCACAACCGCTGTTGTCGACTGACGGCACGTACATAAACGAGTTTATTTCTGCTCCTGACCTCTTACCGCACTAGTCGAGTAATGTATTGACCAACGAGGAATCAAAGCTTAATTTTATCAACTTGCGATTTGTTAATTCAAAAAAGACCGCTATTTATAAGCAATAAAAGACTCAAAAGGCTGACTACAGGTGCACTTACCCTATATGATTTTTTAACTGGATTTTTTCAGTATCGTTAAAAGATAATTACTTGAGGCTTTAACTCACGTTTAATCAACATAATGGTAAAACAAAAACACAATAATTGATAAAATTCTTCTCGACGGATGAATTTCATATTTGATAAAATTCTTAATTTTTATTAAATAAAATAAAATAAAGTAAATTCCACTGCAGAATATAGTCGGGGAGTGACTTATTTGGCAAATTAAAATGGGGGATAGTGATGTTTATTTCCATAAGAAAAAGTAAAGTAAGCACTTGAAATAAATGTTCTGAATACATTGACAACCTGCAAGTAATATCTGTGCTCCCATTGTGACATTAACAAATGCAGTGAACTCTTGAGATAGGCGCGCGGCGATAAACTGCCTAACCTAACCTAAAACTCGTAAGTGCCTATTACGTTTTTAAGTTATAATAATAATAATAATATATAAATAATAATATATAAATATAAATAATAATGCCTTGTAAGCTAACCTTACATTATAATTATAAAAAAAACGGACCTCATAAGTTTGTGGAATTACATGTAATTGCCAAGTTTTATTGAAGTCGGTTAACAGAAAGTGGGCGAAATCCAATGAACAGTTCATCTCCTAATTTACCACAGAGGGTACCGATGGGTACCGTCTGTGTACACACTGCCGTGCTTACGATCTATTATTTCAAACATACTTTTAATATTGTAGGCACGGTAGCACAAGACACGTCGCTAATTGCCATGATATCCTGATAGAGCCAAGTGGTAGGAGGGATACTAAATATCAATCCCGTGGATATAAGAACTAAAATGACTTAAAATTATACCGTAGTCCCATGGGATAATCCAAGAGGCAAGAGTGATACTTACACCATAACACAGCGAATACAATGACATAGATACCGAGCGGATTGTCGATTAAGTTCTTAATTTTCACTTCTTGGCAGTATTTAGTCATGTTCACAAAAGGGCAGGCTTTGAAGTCATTGCACTTGGGACAAATCGGTAACTCTTCGTAGCGTCTTTCTTTGTAACCGAGCTTTGGTTCTCTGCTCAGGGTGCCAATCCACCTGAAGCTGTTATAATAACCCCTAATGACAAAGCATTCCCACATTAATATTGTTGAAAAATATATCTTTTAACTTACAAGGTGTTAGGAAGTTGTATACAAACTTTGAAGGTTTGTAACTTAAACTTTGATTGTTTGACTTTGTATTTACCGCCAAGAGAAAAAAAATTCATATGAACAAAGGTTGAAGCGAAATTCAAAATTTTGTTACGTCGTGGTGGTAATTAAGGCTACTTCCCTCGATGTGTGATTTTACGGATGATACCGAGCACAGCTGGCGATCACTGACAACCATTACGTAGCATTAGAGCTCCTTGTGAAAGAGTTCGTCCAGGGAACTGCCGCTTCACTTATTTCTGTCGCCAAGCAGTAATGTGAGCATTGCTGCGTTCCAGTTTGGAGTGTAAGGGTGCTGGTGAAATTACAGGCACACAGGACTTGTCAATTTAAGTCTCAGGTTGACGGGCGCAGTGGGAGTACCCCTCAGGTTTTTGCGATTTAAAGCTCTAAGTGGTACTGCATCTGTTACGGGCAGGTACGTGTGTTGCTTTCCACCAGGCGCACGGCTTCTTTGTCCTGTCACTTGGTATCATAAACAAAATACATACCGCAGCAAGTCTCGTCCAACAGTGCGTCTCCATCTGTATAGATGCGTGATTCGAAGATATTTTATGATTCCAGAAAGCCATGTGGAAGAAAACATGTCGCTACAGCCGCGGCTTTAATAATTATTTCTGCGCAACACAGACGAGCCTCTTCCCGTGGCGCCTTGGTGCGAGCTTGTGCTGGGTAATCCGTAACATTACAAATCATGAGAAGCACCTTAACAGGACAAAATACAAGAATCACGAAATAGCAGCCCACGGATATTTGAAAATCTTAAAAAAACCGAAGACAGGGTGTATGTAAAATAAAAGCATACGTAGTACCCACACATATGTACATACAAACTTCCTGCACCCAATATGGGTAAATACAGAAACATACCTAATAGTGATTACGGTTTCAGAATTTTTCTAAGGGGATTTGTTTATATAATAAGTATTAATATAACTTTGCAAACAACCTGTCTAAATATGTTCAAAGGCTTACCAACCGTAATAGGAGACCACCTGTGCATTATAAGGGCACGGTAAGTAGTTAGGTGATTTGGTGCAAAGGTAGTTGGCATCTTTCATTGTGTAGTATGGAAATGCTGTTACCAACTTCGTGAAGATGATTCGGTTATTGATCGCACCAGGTTCTACTATCAATTTAGTATACTTGTAACTTTGGTTGGAGCACGCGGCGTGACTGGCAGAAAATATTAATATTTGTTGTAAACATAATGTTGTTCCAAATAAGACTGCTGCAGATATGTGTGGTACTTGCTTTATATGTTTGTGAGATCTTGTGTATAAGCCCCCCACTAGCAGAGCCAAGCCAAATAAAAAATGCAGGATAAGCGCTTTGTTGTACAATTCAAAGAATCCAAAAAGAAAAGCAATCTGGAACAAAGGTACAACCACATCATGTTCTCAGCAAGAGTAAGTAAGTCAACAGACGATGCATCATATAAGGGAGTTCAAAACTACATTTCGTATGTGTATAATAGTCATGTATGTTTGAGGTCTAAACGCCAATGCATGGCTGCTTCGTTTCAAAACAAGAGGAACACACTCTGAATTCTGCTGTACACTCTAAATACCCTATTATCGATGTTGCCAGTTAGTGTTACGCTTATATAGGGTTTAAAATATTGTGGTAAAAAGTATACTTAGTAATTTGATTGCCATGTTCGATTGGTACAACGCTGTTCCAATGTCTACTTGCACTCAAATGTCCTGGGCCCCTTTATGACTGTAAAATAACGTCATCCATCTAAAATACTAGAAACCCGATTATGCGAATCAAACAAAGTGTTACTAACGACGAAATGTTTTATAACTCCTTTTATTAAATAATGTCGGACGAAGGACGAAGTTCAATGGAGAGAAATGTCTTTCGAAGAATTGTAATTTATTTTTATTACACGTTGACGTATTGCGCCATTATTTTGTGTTTCTTTATTATTTTTTATACTATTTTTTGTTTCATATCAATATTATTGTTGGATCATTATTTATCTTTTCACATTGTATTATAAATTGTATTATTGTGACATTGATAACATGAAAGAAATGTATCTATTCTATTGTGTTCTATTCAAAATCACGTATTTTTAACGTTGTAAATGTACGAATTACGGTTGTTTTCAATAAAAATGTATTTACTGTACGTATTTTTAATCAACCTCGGTGAATTGCACATGACGGGTTCGATATTTATTTATAATTGTTCTGAGAAAATATCAACGATGCCACAATATTACATCGCCACGTTACACGTATTATAACGTTAAAACCAATGTTTAGAAATATAAATCATATTAATTAAATTGTACATGTACATTGAAAGTCACGTATTTTATTACTATATATATATAAAAGCTACAAGTTTAGACTCACTGATAGAAATAGAACGCATACTTTCCGATATGGTGGAAAAAATATATTAATATTGTTCTACGCGGATACGTTCCAAAGCAAAGAATCAAATATGAAAGGACCTGAATGTGGAAAATATAGAGTGATGAACGGCCTGCAAAAACTATAATATAGGTATGGAGGGAATATTTGTGCATTTTCAAGAGGTACACCTTGGACAATTTCCGCCTGAAGTAAAAAATGTTCGAAATTCAAGTAAACAAGATGGCCGTCATACAAATTTCAAAGTCTTCTGTCACGGAAACTATTAGAGATAGGTAGGAGGTGTTCGAAGGAACTGGTCAACACTGGTCAACAAAAATTCAAAAAAATTCAAGATGGCGAATGGTTAAAAAAAATTCAAGATGGCGAATTCAAAATGGCGGCCGAAGAAAAATTTGCATCGATCCGGCTGAAAATTGGCATTCGAGGGTCTTTAGGAGTTAAGGACTCCTAAAGACCCTCGCATCATAATTTGGGATCAAACATTTATTTTTGCCATTGTTTATTATGACTGCCATATAAGTGTTTTTTCGTTAAAAATAGCTGCCGAGAGAGACTTACTCTGATTCGGCTGAAAATTCGCCTTTAGGAGTACCGGATAATAATTTGCGATCAAAATGTATTTTTCGCCTTTTTTCAATGTGGTTATACAAATATTTTTAGCGGCAGATAAATATTTGCTCCAATTCGACTGAAAATCAGCATGTGGGGTCTGTATGAGTGTTTAGTAAAAATTTTCGGTCAAAATTTATTTGTCGCCATTTTTGAATGTGGCTGCCATACAAACATTTTTGGCGATAGATAAAAATTTCTTCCAATTCGACTGAAAATGGCATGGTTTCAATCATAATTTGGGGTAAAAATTTTGTTTCACCGTCATACACGTGTTCTTTTTTTTATGTAAATGGCTTTTGAAAAAATTTGCTTTGCGCCGGCTGAAAATAGGCACGACAAGATTTCTAGGATTGTCTGATAATAATTTGTGGTTAAAATATATTTTTGCTATTTTCAAATATGGCCGCCATTAAACAGCTATTTAAATTTTTTAAAACAACCTCATAAGTGCCGAGATTCGTGGAGGGCGAAGCCCGAAACGTTCGCTCGCCATCGTACGGAGGTAATATACAGAGGCGTAATAGATTACAATTGTTGTAATATAGTAACGCATACTTTCCGATGTAGTGAAAACGAGATACTTATAATAGCGTTGTTGTATCTCGGCCGTCTCTCTGTTAGATTCCTTTTTTTAGAAGCTATGCCAAAGAGAAATATTTAGGGGGAAAAAATTACAAACTTCTGTCGAATTTCCTGTACCATCAATACCAGAATAATGATAACTTGGAGAGCAATACCCAGAATACTCAGGCCCAAATCAACTTAGAAATGTTCGTTTCTTAAAATAGCTCAATCGGGAATCGAAGCTCCTTATCAAGCACCCATAGTACTAACTGCTGTGCCACCGAAGAGCATGAGCACGCCCCGTAATCTGAACCCGACCACGCGCCGCAGGCAGTAATTTATACTATAATAATGGTACTCAATTTTCTTATGGATACAACATAAGCGAAGACGCAAATAGAGCTATAAAATCTACAAAACAGACGTCTTCTAGCATACAACAATGTATTAATGTCATTATTTTAACTCTGTTAATATAGGTGCCGAGCTTATGTATCTGCATAATCGAATACAATAAGAAATAATTTACATAAATAATGTTAGACATTTTTTAAATACCGCCTTGGTTCGTACCTGGCTGTCGTTTCAATGCGTGATACATTACATCTTACGTATTTTGTACTGTGAATCGATTTTCTGCAGCCGTCTTTGTGTTTTACTAGCATTTCTATTAAATAAGCGCAACGTCTAGATTTGCTGGAATGCGCAGAGAATTCTGGTTGTATATGTATCAAACTGCGTCTAGACAATTGTCTGTCCATTCCACTTTGGTAATTTTTGCCTGTATGAGCGATATGTTATCTCTTTCTATCGCATTGAAATATTGAAACAGAATAAAATCAATCCGTCAAGACCGCCGCAAAAGCCCTGTAAGCCTAATCGATATGGCGGGAATGTGAACTAAACATTATATCGTATACATTTTGACAGTAATTTACTCCCCGCGCCTTCCCCTTCATCGCAACAAGCGCCACCGTTTTATATGTATGTGTTACTCCTCACAGTCGTAACGCCCCCATCTTATATCTACTTGTAATTTAGCTATGTTGTTAGGTAACAACTACACGTGCAATTGTACGCAAGTGCTTTTACAATACCGTGTTGTAGGCAAAGTAGAACGTCGTTCCTTTTCGAAACTAACCGTTTTTAATTATAAATAAAATCATTGTATCTGTGTAGTCCCATTCTTCTATTTATTTATAATTTAAATTCACCACATTTTGTTTTTAATAAAAAATTACAAATTACTGGCTATCCTACCTTTTTTGGCCGTATTATACTTGTATTACTGTCATTAACCACATTCAAAAATTACATATCTGTCTGTACAAATCAGCACCTATTTATTACTTGAACAGGCAGATACTAATGATTTCCATTTTATTGCAATTCTGACAGGTTAGTTTCGTCTCTTCTACATGCAAGTCGTCTAAACTCTAATTAAACTAATAACACTGTCGTCTTTACTTAATTTATTTGTTCTTGTCCAACAAAACATAAAAATACCAGACATGAAACCAGTTTTAGTTAGAAAGGCCTTCTGGACCCCCCAGCGTAAGATTCTGATTACAGCCCTGACCCTTATATCCAAAATCCTTGTACGCTTCTGGTAGCCTGGGAGTTCGAGCTCGTTTTTCATACAAATCTGCCCAAAACGCCGCGGAATGTCGCTAATAAACCGGTAAGTTAGACTGTTCTGCATTTTCTCAGAAAAATTAATAAATGAACAAATAATGCGCTTTTAATCGGAGTTCCAACTGATTTCTTACAACATCTCAAGATAAATTTTAAACTAAAAATATTGTGGTAATCCTTATTTTTAGTACCCTTCTAAATACTATATAGAGCCTGTGAGAGTCAGAATTGTTAAGGTACACCCACCATAACGAATCCTTACAAATTTAGTATAAAAAAATGTACCTAATTTGCACGATTTAGTACCTCTGTTTTAAAAACATTTCCATCAGAACGAAGTTATAGTAATATCAAAGGTACACCCGCCGTATTGACTATCCATATGAGAGAACGAGACTATTTACGTCATTTACATTTTTTTCGGATTAACACAAACCCACAAACTATCAAAGAAAGATTTTGGACAACGATACTATAGAGTCGCCTTGATGTGAATCGTATGTTTTAAAGGTTATTAAATGTTATTAATAACTAACAAAATATTATTTGATTCTTTTTATGGCATAGGGTTGTCTGTGAGAAGTCCGAAATGATATAATGAATTTTCATAATTGCGGGGAAGCGAACTGTGTCTCCCTTGTGCATTTTTGTGCGCCTGTTTTTTTTATGGGATCAAAAGCTAAAGGCACATTCACGTATTATGGTGCACACAAACAGTTCTTTGTACGCATTTTATATCGCACTAATACAAGGAATTATTTTATTAATTCCAATCACGGCCGTAAGCAGGTTTGCTGTATTTTTTTACCATTAAATTGTTTAAAAGTAAAAGGGATAACCATTATTTAAAGAAGTGCATTGCTCACTTATAACATTATGACTTTGTGGAACAGAATGAACATTTCGAAAAGTAAGTAAAAAGGTAAAGCACAATGGAAAAAGAAAATAAATTTATTTTGTTAATAAACAAACGTGGGATTGAAACGTGGGATGTAAGGGGGCACACACCATCACAGCTCTTATTGTCAACCTCACCTGCACGCGGTACATCCTGCAGTAACCGACGAGGCTCTGGCGACCGGTAGTAGGCGGTTTAGCCCTTCCCCACATTGGCGCTGTCAAATCTGCTGGCTACCGACGGGCAGCAGCGTCGGTAGTACAAAGGC